ACAATCTCAAACTTCCATCATATTTCTTTTGGACAACACTGACGCTCGAAAGACTTCGAGGGTCGAAAGAATCTGGCTTGGAGCAACCCATCCCACTACTTTTCTAACTTAGCCAGCTCTTGTAGGACTCATCCGAGAAAGGGCACTTAACATGAGGCTTTACTTCCATGATTAACTCAATCTCATGGTCCACATACCTTTTAGGAGACAACCCTTTCGGTAAATTATCTGGCATTACATCCTCAAAGTCATTTAACACTTCTTGAACACCCATAGGCACCTTACCAGAAATGACAGCCTCCTTGGAAACTGGGAAGACTAAGAATAAAGGTTATCCGTTTTTCTCTCTTTTCTTAAACTGGATAGCTGATAATACTTTACTCTCGGGACATAGAAGAATCGTCGCGGGCATCATACATGGTTGTTACCCCATCAACATAAAATAAATTGTCGCTCAGAGAGAAATCACTAGGAATGCCATCATACTTCATGGAATTTTCCCTACAACCAATAAAAATATCATATAATATTTTATTGACACAATAACCTCTTTGGTCCTTTTACCCTGAACTCAACGTATTAGCCACATGAATGGCTTGTCAGCATGAATAGCCAATTTTAACATCTATAGTGATCCATTTGATCTGGCCACCATCAAGCCTTTGACAATTCGATAATTTTCTCAAAACCCAATGAGCACCAATATTCTCAAAAGAATAAGCATCCTTGAACAATCAATACCAAACGCCCTATATGAACATCTAACAAGCACCTCTGTGCCAAAACAACATTAGCTCTTATACAAATATCAAACAAGTATCTTTGTGCTAAAAGAACATGCACCCATATGCTAATAATACCACAACACGGTCTTACGCGAGCTTTACAAAGTAGGCCTCTCTATACAAGACCAAATTATTGCACCATTCCTGCTCCACACGTTAGAGTGATTAGGGTAAGATCAGGTCATCCTTCCTACTCCCATTTGGAAGTGCTCGACAAGAACTCTATCTCCCTACCTACTAATAACGTTAAAGTGCACAACGTGAATCATCAAAAGAAATGAGGAACACGCACTGTTCACAAACATCAATCCCATCTCTGGCTCCTTCCGTAAACTACTCAGCTGGAACTATAAGGCAAATTTGAATCACATGGAACCCATTATAACCGACTCAGTTCGACTATCTTCAGTTAGAGCGTTCACTTGCGCACCATCCCTTATTGATGCCACCATGGCTTTAAAAGCACTTCGTGGTGGACACTCTCTAATATGATGAGGCCAACTACAAAGGAAACACCTTAATGAGAGTCTACTCCCTCCCTTTCTTGATAAAAAACCAGTCAAGACTCTATTTCGGGTTGGGTCCCTTCCAAGAAAACTCTTATTCGCTCCCCAACCCATTGTCTTCTCCCATCGTGTCAACTTGTTTTGACCTCTTTATTGGGTATTCGCTCTAATCGTAGAAGGCACTTTACGATTTCCACGAAGATCATTGTAATCATTAAGGGACTCAGCAAGAATTATCGCTACTTTCAAATCTCACACCTTCTAGGTTTGCAACTTAAGCCTCGCCCACAGCTTAAGCCCTCCAAGGAAATGAAATAATTTATCCTTTTTAGACATGTCCTTGATATCTAGTACCAAGGTTGAGAACTCTCTCCCATGCTACCATAGGGTCCCTGTATGAGATATTTTCCTCCACTTCTTACGAGCGTCATAGTCTACATTCTAAGGCAGAACGAAAAATCTTAAACTCCCTTTTTAATGCATCCCAAGTCTTAACGGAGAATACTCCATCTTCAAATTTGAACCGCCACCATCACTAGCATCAACTGCCAAATATATCGACAATCGCCACCTTATCTTCCTTAGACTCAGTGCGTATTGCTCGAAAATATTGTTCCATATCAACCATAAAATTCTCAAGCTAGCATCCTTCGCCCCATTAAACGTTGGGGATTAGAGATCTTTACTTGTACGCTTTACTTTCATAGGGTTCGTAGTCAAACAAGTTATAGCTGCTTGAAGCCCACACTAACTTGAGCCTTCAGCTCCTCAAACACAAGCTATCTGACACATATGGAATCTCTCACCTCGTTCCCCAGTTCAATCATTAACTCTGCCAATCCTTCTTGAGTCTCCTCGACTCTTCTTATTTGATCACCAGATATCATATGAGTTATATCGACCGCTCGTTTGGCTTTCATCTCATCTGACTTTTGTAATCCACATAACTCGTCTCATGTATGACAGAAATTATAACTCATTGATTCTCACCTCTATGAGAACTTGTTGACCCACTATTACGCATATGAATCATTCACACTAGTTAGTCAGCACCTCTATACCTGCAACACAAATAAGGCACTATCGTGCCTAAAAAGTAAGAGCACCACTGTGCTAAATTCATAGCACCTTTGTGCTTGAATTAAGGATTGGGCACCTCTGTGCGTTAATCGACAACTGACACCTCTGTGCAGTTAAAGGAAAAGAGAACCACTGTGCTGAATTCAAGCACCTCTGTGCTTGAATTAATGATTGAGCACCTTTGTGCATCAATCGAGAGTTGACACCTCTGTATAGCTAAAACTGATTGAGCACCTATGTTCTTCAATCGGGAACTGACACCTCTGTGCAGTTAAAAATGACTAAGCACCTCTATGCATCAATCGAGAGCTGACACCTCTGTGTAGCTAAAACGGATCAAGCACCTCTATGCTTCAATATAAAATATGGCACCTCTGTGCATTTAGGATGATTGAGTACCTCTGTGTTGCAATCTAAAATCAAGCACCTCTGTGCTTTTACAAACAATCGAGCACCTCTGTGTTATAATCGACAACCAAGCACCTCGGTGCTAAGTTTAACAGCTGTGCAACAAACACGTAACAAGAATCATCATGCCTTACTCAATGAAGTGAGTGCCTATGTGTATCACTATCAATCGTTAAGCTGGCACCTCTATGCATTTGCCACACTATTTCACCGTGCCTACAACACACGTTAGAGCGCTTGGCTTATGGTCAGGTCATCCTGCCTACTCCACGCATTGGAGCGATTGGCATGAACATTGTCCACCTTGCCCACTCAACATGTCGAAGCATTTGGCGTGAAACAAAAATGAAGAACTCAAATCATCTGCCAAAACCAAATCGTTTTTTGCTCTGATACCAAGTATCACGGATATAACGTCTCGAGCCTGTTGTTATGTCATGTGGCACTTGAATGGGATAACTCCCAGACAAGTCAGTCTTTCCCAACATAGATCCATACCTCGAATTAACTCGTTATGAAGCCAAGTCACATTGGCTAAGAATCACCCCTCAGTTCATTAGTCGCTCCTACAATATCCTGTTCGAACAAACAAACCACACATTAGTCTCGTGCCATAATATAATTCCAAAGCCACAAGTACTCTTGGAAGAGAGATCCCGCGGGGCATAACGAATGCTAGATGGCAACCCCATTCCTCAACCAAGAGCACGATATGGGGCCCATTGGCCCCAAACCGTCCCTAAGTATCATCCTAGAGAGACTGTACCATCCTCTTGGTCCCGATGCCCGCATAACTAGGTTCCTCATGAACCTAGGAGAAGGTCGCTTACACCATGGTAACTCCACATGCTAGCTCAGGGTGAGGGGATGGTGGAGACCCAACACCAGATCACTTGCCCCTAAAGAGCTAAATAAACTTACCAGCCATGACATCAGTACACGTTGGAATGTTTGAACTGAGGCCATTACCTTGACAGGCCCTCCATCTTCATTCTTCAAGCTTTTCCTTGTCCCACAGTCGCAACTACTCGGTCTACCATCAGGTTACGATTGGGGTAATCTCATGGAAATGAGATGTCCTCGACACAATGCCCCCTGCTTTCAGCCACTCTGATTACTCTCTTACAACTACTCAATTCTCTACTTTCTCCGAGGTCGATGGAAGATGAAGCATTACATCTTCTATGTTAATTTAATTTTTGTTTTGAATCAAATCAAATTCAAGTCCAACATTATACATATATTAATGTTGTTCAATGCACTTTTTTTTTGTTGATGGGTGATCATGTGAATATAAATATTTTTCATTTTTGTTGTTGTTATTGGATTATATCAAATATAAATGTCTCCTTGTAATTTATGCACATGCTCATTTACTTTCTTTTCTCTTTCTTAGTTTTGGCTTTGGAAGAAGTTGTATTATGTTCTCCACAATTTGATTAAATTGTTTGGTCATTCTGGAAAAAATTTCATTCTACCTTCTTCTGCATTGAAATATGAAAATTATTTTAAATAATTATGAAAAAATCACTATTTTATAAAATGTAAATGACGTAAAAAGATCTAAATATATATACAAAAAACATTATTATTATTATTTTAACAAATATTTTATAATTCTTTATACTTTTTAAGATTTTGCTTTAGATTTTAAAACATAAAAATTGAAAAATGTCTTTTGAATGTTTTTTTTTATAATTTCAAAAAATTAAATGTGTAAATTAAACAATTAAATATAAATTAAGCATTTTAGTTTATTAATTTTAAGTGTTTAGTCTTGATGATTTAGTGTTATCATTGTCATATACCACACTCTACTGATGTGATTTAACGATTTATGTTGGCTATGAATTTATGAATACTCCAGACTTCAAAGTTCTGCACTCCATCTTCATCCTTTTAGAATACTCTTTCCTGATTTTGGTTTCACCTCCAAGAAGCTGTCATTCTTGACCACTGTGCCTTCAAACCAGTTTATCAGATGAAGTTTTCTTTTCCCCTGATGTTCAATTAATTTATCAATCATATGTGCCTTGAAGCATGATAGGTAGTAGAAACTGGGATGGATGCTAATGACAGGACTGGTTTGATAACATGGTTAAACTTCAAAAAACATTATTAAAATTCATGTTCATTAGAGAAATAACATAAATTAATATTATTCTTTGAATGGTCAATTTGACCCAAGCGGTAGTTTCAAAATTCACCCCTAGTCTATTCATAATCTATCCATTTGAGATGACAAAATGACTACAACATATATAGGTTCTTTTCCCATAGATACAATGACAACAAAAGAGCAAAGGGGATGATGATGCTCATACATAATCAGTTTGCACTGTCAAATCATGTATTCCCAACTCATATATAGGTTCTTTTCCCATAGATACAACGACAACAAAAGAGCAAAGGGGATGATGATGCTCATACATAATCAGTTTGCACTGTCAAATCATGTATTCCCAACTCATGGTATAAACCATGCACATACTCTAGTGTACGCCGATCATCCATCTCTTTCTTCACCTGTCGGTACAAAATGCAGCATTTAACATCCAACAATGGATAAAAACATTTTCAAAGCGCACGGGGTGAATGCTACAGTAAAATACCTGAAGTGAAAGGGATCCAACAACTTGACCAGGCACTAGTTCCCAAAACCGAGCTTGAGATACTTCTGTAACATCTTCATGAGAAACAATCTAAAACAAGATTGACAATTAAATTATAATTCAGACAAGAAAGATGCATAAATTCGACAAAGAAATTTGCATAAGAATCACCAAGGTAAAGACAACCACCTGTCGCCAGCATTTGCACAAGGCTGAAGATGAAATATTCGGTGGTGCCGTCTGAAGCAAGATACCACCAGTAGTTTTAAATAGAGGCATAACTAGCATAAAGACTGCAACCGAAACTAATCCCGAGCACAAAACTTCAGCATTATTAACCCTGCATGAGTGGAAAGAAAGGTTAAGACAGTGAATAAAGAATAAGGGTGAAATCGGAGGAACATTCCATGTTTGTGTTCCTTCACCAGCAGTTGAACCAAGAAATTACCCAAGAGAGAGAAACCAGGATGCCAATATCAAACCTGCACTGAGGGGGGAAAATGTAGAGATGATTAAGACAGTGGTAAATAATGAAAGAAAGAAATTATGCATGAATAGAGAGAGAACAGCTGTCACACCTGCGAATGGAATCTGCAAGAACATGCAAGCAAACTGAATGGTAATTCATATCTTCAGGCTTACTGTATGCTGCAAGAAAAATATACATATAAAATTACCAAACTATCCCAAGCTCATGTTTCAAATTGTGGCAATCATAAACCTTATTAAGCTTGTGGTTCTCATATCATAATAAAGCTGATCACAATGTATACATTAATATAAGCCACAACATAGGTAACATAAAAAATGTGAAAAACTATAGTACAAATATAGGCAGATAAAAATAAATTGCTTGTTTCTGAACCTCATAACTGCATAAGCATTCTTATTTTATTTAAAATGTAAGGCATTAAGAACCATGATATCTGAGTTACCAAGATTGATTCGAGCATAATTTCTAAAGAACCAAACGCCCAATAAATTCACCAACAGATTTGCCACTGCTGAAACAATCAAATAATGCCTATAAGCAACAAAAAAAACATAAGTACATATTTTCAATTTTTTGTCTACTAAAAAAATAGATTAAATGGCTATCTTACTAAAATTTACTACTGTACTACAAATCAAGGGAAACACCACTTACTTGTGCTCTGATTCATCTTGGATGAAAGCGTGAAGTGCTTCCACAGCTAAGGAGAATGACAAGAACAATAGAAATAGCTGTCTACACAGGCAGCAAAATCAAGAATATCAATATGTTAACCCATTTTTAGCAAGTAAGACAGAAGAAACAAAATAGAATTGCTGAAACATTTCAAAGACCTAGAAAAATTGGTTACAAGCCAAGAGAACATTGAAACACATTCATTATAATAGTTGCATGCACTTCAAAGCAGCGCAGAAGAACAGAGCAAGCCAACAATTATAATTTCTTATGCTCGCATCCTTTTTTTCTTTTTTGAGAATCTAATTTTGCACATTGAATCTAAATATAATTCACTTTTTCTATTACATCTAGAACAGTAAAGCTAGGCTTCGAGTAAATACGAGTATATATCATCGAACTTTAAGATGGAATCTAAAAAACAACATATATCTAATCCCACTAGCATTCTCTTCCAACATGATTAATGACAAGTGACTTCTATCAAACAGCAGCTGGCATTTAGAGAGAGAAATTATCTCATCCCTTAAGTTCATTGCACATCAAACTTAACTAGAACGAAACCATAACATGAATATGGTACAGACAGAGAGATTATAGCCATGTAGGGTGAATAAACTTACAGCTAAATCCAATTGGGGATTGACTTGTTCCAAGACCAATATGATAATGTGTTCGAAGAAATATACAGAGGTTTCACACTTTGATCTTCCACTTCCCAAAGTCATGCATCCCACTACTTCATCCAAGTACATTACTTGCATACTTTTAGACTCTGTCGAACTGCCTCAAAGCTATCTGGTTATAATTATGCTAATGAGTCTTAGCTTTGTTTTTCATCATAAATTTGTTTATCAGCTTTGTATTATGAGTTTGGTCCTCTCCACAAGATTTCCTTTCTTAGCGAATTTATCCAATAATGATTTCCTTTTAATTCCTTAACCTACAGTTCTGACGTACACTTATCCCTGCTTCTATCAGAATACAACTTGAACACAACATTTTGACATAAATAATGTTGAAAATAAAGACTTACAGCATTGGTGAATGCTGACAATACTTCAAGTCTTTGGTACCTGATAATGAAATTTTTTAAATTATTAGCAGTCATGCTGAACCATCGATATAACATGCACAAGATAACTTCAAAGTAAAAAAATTGTCATTTCATAGGGATTTCAGAGGTTGAAGGATATGCAATTGAGATCTCCTTTGTAGAGCGGATATTAATGGCTGCCAATTATACTAAGCCTTTTCCACAAAATAAATGAAAACTAGAAAATTATAGAAAACTGTAAACAACACATGAATCTGTTGGACCTGTGAATAATGGAGGTAACTGTGTAGAGTTAAGGTTTGTAGCGTGCTTGATAAAAGACACTGTCTTAATCAAAGGCATATCTTCATGTAAAAAGTATGTTTCAGAACATTTAAATCTAAATAGTATCAAGGAAATAAATACTTTCTGGAAAACATTAACCAGCTTTAATAACTCCAAGAAATACCAATAAACCGCACCAATTTTATTCCATGACATATTTGAAAATTGAAACCGTATGATCTCACCCATAAGTATAAACACTGTTAGGCTTTCTTCGAGAAGCAGCCATTGCAAACAATGAAAATGTCAGGAGACCACAGCCAAACGTCAAATGAAATGCATCAGATACCAAACCTGAAAAGACAAACGTAACAACAAAATAAAGATCAGAGAAAATTTTACCTATAAGACAAGGAACCCTAAAAACTTGATGGAAATTAAATGAACAAGGAATTTGATTCATACAAGGGTGATAGCGTAGAGAATTGCACTCCCTTTCATGAACATAATTAAAGACATCAAAATTCAAAGAAAACTGTTCAAAAAATAATAAAGAACAATTCAACACTGATACATAGGGCCAAAAAAATTGTCAGAACAATAGACTTTTACAGTCACAAAGAAATGCATAGTCCATAGTATCACTTAGAATATGAGCATATAAGCACACTCCAATTAAACTTAACATTGAAAAGGTGAAAAACAAAAGGCTTGCATCGATACAAGCAGAAGCCCAGTTCAATTGCAAATATTATAACTAAAAACAAAAACTATAATGAGAATGATCAAAAGCAGTTAATTTGCAAGGAAATGCTGTTATTACATAGAAATAACAAGTCCAATGCACGCTTTAGATTTTCTTTATCCAAATTGATTAGCCAAAATTCTTTCAAATACAAACCTCAATGACTGTGCAAAATAATTACCTAATTTAATCACTAACTGATAAACTATAATAACTATAACAAAAATATAAAATTAAACATACAAAGCTAAGCAATTTATGCGTATAAATGCAAAACCAAACATAAAACACATTAGAATCTCACCAACACGGCCGGTAAAGAGCCCAATCATCAATTCAGCAGTCGAATACGCCACATTAAGTGAAATCATAATCAGCAACCTCTTCATTTGCCGATTACCTGTTCTCATAACCCGAAAAACCCACAAAACCGATAATTTATCCGCCGATTCCTGTCCTTTGGCTTCGAAAACTCCTTCCTTGACATGGTCAAAAGAGTAAAACCCTGGGGGTATATCGATGCTCGAGACATTCCTCGGTAGAAAAGGCTTCGTGGAATCGTTGGAAAAGTTGGGGGTTTGGAGATCTCTAATTGGCTGTTTAAACGACTGTTGCCGCGAAAACACGTAACGCCGATCGGTCGCGTTGTTGAATCCGAAATCGGCGTTCCATGGATGAGGGGAATCGGGCTCTTGAGAGTAGTTTTTGAACGATTCGTTTTTCTCCATTTCTGTTTCTTCTATATAATAATAAACACGAATTTGTTTTCTAAAATGAGAAATTAATAAGATTTTGAAAGACTGCTGATTTAGGCAATGAGTTAATGGCGGAAGAGAAGACTTAGGAGTCCAAGTACACTGAGAGATTGGGTAACTGTACATTGATGTCTAGAGTAGCTAGCGTGAGTTTTGGTAGGCCAGGCCGCTAGAGATGTTGGAGTGATCTCCTAGTTATATCGCTCAACTTAAATAGTCAATTAATTGGGACGATTATTAAATTTTAATAATTGTGAGCTTTTTTTTAAAAAAAAAAATAGGCCTCATTAAAAATTCATCTAAATATTAGGAAGGAAAAAATACTCTAAATATTGTATTATGTTAGAAAAAATATTGTTTGACACATAAGATGCAATTATCTAGGGCAAATTGAGTTAAAAAATATAAACTGCCCATAACGATGGGCCCAAGTTACTAAATTACGTGCCACCGTATTACAAGTTCTTGAAATAAATTCAACATCAAAACCCACATTGTAAGCTAATATATCACGAGCGTCTCACAAATGGAGACCAAGGGTGGAAATGTCCTCATTCGTACGTTGCATTTTATTGACTACTAGGTTGTAAATGAGACGATACAAATTGTGAGTTATTCGAGATCGACTCGATCATGGCTCGATAAATATTCGAATCAAATGGACTTGACTCGAGTTCTTAACGAGCTTAAACGAGTTACTTGATATTCGACTCGAAAAATGTGTGAGCAGCTCGAAAACATAATATATTAAGATTTTATTTTTTTTAAAAAAAATTATTAATAATATTAACATTTATGTATTGATTTTTTTTAAAATACAATAATATTTTCATGTATTTAAGGTTTGAGTTTAAGTTTGAGGTTTCAATCGAGTTAAGTTTAAGATTTTTTTTTCATTTCGAGCTGCTGACGAGCTTCAGTTAAGGATTTCGAATTCGAGTCGAGCTTGCAAATATTAAGCTCGCGAGTTTTCGAGTCGACTCGAGCTCATCGCTACTCAAACTTGACTCGTCTCGTTTTCACCCCTATAATGACGACCATCATAGAATCTGATTCAAAAATCAACTTTTTGCCACTAATTGTCCCTTGAAAAACGCAAGCATGTCATCGAAGCATGAATCTCTGTCAATCCATCTTCCACACAGCTAGGAGAGGACAGCGCCATGCCTCCTAGAACAGAGCCAGTCGAGTCGCAAGCAATGATTCTTACTGTAGGTAGTCCACTGTGAGGATTGAATGCTCCGTCGATGTTAAATTTAATGCAGTCAGGATCAGGAGTGTTCCATCTGTCAGGATCATTGCAAGTTCGCGGAATACAGGTGGCCTGAGTCTTATGTGATCGCCTGACTGCTTGGTTCCTAGCCAGTATGAACTTTGGATGCAACATTTTTGCATTGGAAGCCAACACCCAAGGTCGTTGGAATCTATTATCATGTACCTTATTATTGTGACCATTCTAAATGTTCCAAACTACAAGGAAACCTGTAAAACCTTATAGATCAAGCATACTTATCACAAATTCAAATCAGTTCCAAGGTCAGATTAATTGACTAGAAAGAAAGGCTACATTCAAACCTGCATGGGCAAATGTTTCCTATGAATCATGTAGACCATGGATAACTGTCTCTTCCTCTACTAAACACATTGGATAGTTTCCATCTCTTATATGGGCTGCTTGAAGTCGATGATCGACGGGTAAGCCTCCAAACGCCACCCTCCACGTAAAGATCCTCAATTTGTACAGCACCTACAGTTTTGTGAGAATCTTCCACACCCTAGACGTAGCTGTCGTCGGATGTGTGGGCTTTTGCAGCCATTAATATCCAGATCTGACTGAGTAAACACCTATATCGTGATAACCCTAAATCAAGGTATCCTCATGACATGGCACAATAGGAGTAGTTAGGATTCGTTCAGCATCATCGACAATGAAAAACTCACGAATCTTTCTCTCATCTTAACAAGCGCTACTTGCATTCATGTACTCCGACACACACGTACTTTTCATGGGAGCATTCGAATAGTCGCTTGAAAGTGTTACTAGCTTGGTCTCACCTCATTTATCGTAAACTAAATTAACCTTGCTTCTCATGCCAATTCTCCAAAAGATAGTTCCATTGAACGCTTGGATTGCTTTATAGATACCCTTTCACGCATAAGAACTATTATTTCCTATTGGCGCATTGGGCAAATCTCCATTAGGAATATTTTTCCTTAAGTACTCGAGAAAGTAAGTAGTTAGGATGTTTACTAAGGCGCCACACTTGCTTTCCAATCATTGCCATATTGAACAAGAGAAGACTCCGTAAGCCTAACCCATACTGACACTTAGGTTTGCAAATGGTTGACCAAATTCTCAGTGGCCACCCACGTTTAGAGATCTTCGCAGTCCACAGACGTCATTTCATTAAGTAAGTGCTCAGGTAAAAGTAACAGGACATTGCATATTGGGGTAAGGCTTAAGCAACAGATTTTAAGAAAACTTCCAAGACTCCATACGAAAATAAACGCTTGACCAGCTAGTGACCCTAGTTGTGACTTTATCCTGCAGATAACCAAAAGTATGAGTTTTATTCTTGCCTATGTGAACAAGGAGACCAAGGTAGTGCCCTAACGAATCGACCTCTTGGATACCAAAGATTGTTTTCATTTGTTGTCAATGAGCAACAATAGTCTTTGGACTAAAATAAATAATTGATTTCTCTAACTTCACTCGTTGACCGGAGGAAGTTGAATAAATTGTAAGGATCTTTTTAATATGTGCAACATCGACCATAGAGTTTTTCAAAAAGACCAAACTATCATTTGCAAAAAGTAAATGGGAGACTCTGGGTCCAGATTGAGAAGCTCATATTCCTTTAATTGCACCATGTTATTGTGCCTTATGAAACAAAGTCGAAAGGCCTTGGGTGACAAAGAGGAATAGGAAGGTCGATAAATGGTCTCTTTGCATGAGTCATTGACTAGAAACGAACTCCCTAATTAGCGACACATCAACTCAAGCTAATAAGATAAATAAAGTTACGCTGCATAATTAGTCCCATAAACTCAGCCTTAAATCCCAACTTCAATATGATGCCTTGAAAGAAGTTATATCCAACTCTATCGTACGTCTTTTCAATATTCAATTTAAGGGCTACACCCATATTAATTTCATTTTTAGATGAGTTCAAATAGTGCAGAAGCTTGTGAGCAACAAGGATATTATCTGAAATTTGTCGACCTAGAACGATGGCAGCTTGATTATCACTGATGCATGATGACATGGGAAGCTTTAGACGATTAACTAAAACCTTGGAACCATCTTATAAACAATGTTACAAAGGCTAATGGGACGGATATGTTTCTTATATTTTGGTTTCTCAACCTTGGGAATTAAGACAAGTATAGTTATGTTGAAAAGGTGTATGTCTAATTGGCCTCGGAGCAGTTGTAAATAGAGATTGATTACATCACCCCCCACTATGTCCCAATGTAGTCTATAGAAATTGACAGGAGTCCATCATAACCAAAAGTCTTTTTGGGATTTATATCCTTGAAGGTCGCGATCACATCCTCCAATGAAATGGCTTACAAAGATCGTCATTCATCTCAGGGGTGATCACCTCATCAATTGACACAAAGATTTTCTATTGGGGTGCCAGTTTGGATGTAGTGAACAACTCCTCAAAATATTCCACTACAATCTCCTTAAGGTCATCCCACTTAATCGTTCAGTCTTGCTTTGTTAAAAAGACCTTTTATCATGTTCTTCTTCCTACGTTGACTGAAACAAGAGTAAAAAATCTCGTATTTCGATGCCCATAAGCTAACTAATTCACATGCGACCTTAGTGTCCAGTACCTTTCTTCTTTATCCAACAAATATTAAAGTTCGGTCTTGGCAGCAATGAATATTGTCATATCAACCCAATCAAATTGATTAGATAAACCTTTATTTACTGTCTTCTGAAGATCTGCAATTTCAGCCCTCGTGTTGGATATACGATCGGACTGTCAATCACAAATTGACAAGTCCATGACAGTAATCTTAGCGCTAGAGTATTTCCATTTATATGACTCCATGCAGTATGAACACGCGAGATGCATGCTTTTTTAGAGGACCGATAATTATCAAATTTAAAATAATCTCATCGATGTTTATTATCCTCATTATGGTTAATCCAATTCGTCTCCATTACTAGGTAACAAAGGTCCAAACGTTCAGAATATTCTGTAGTAACTCTGAACTGTGGGTCAAGATGTAGCCATTGGTTCATGACTATAAATCTATCCAACCGTTCAGCAATAGTTGGTCTATCATAACTACCACAAAATCAAGTAAACCAACCCTTGGAAGGGTGAATATCTGAAAGTTCATTACGTCCTAGTACATTATGAAAATCATCCATCATCCCTCTCTTTTTACGTCGACCTACATGCTTTTTAGCATCAGTCAATACTTCATTAAAATCGCCCCCATTAGCCCAGGCAAGGAGGCAGCATAACCAAAAGTATCAATCATTTTCCATATTTCTGATTTTAACATAGCATTTGAGTGGCCATATGTTTTAGTAAAACATAATCGTTCATTGACGTCTTTAACAATAGTATCAATGTGAATTGAAGAATAAGATAAAATGGTGACGCGAATTTCATTTAATCAAAGCATCATAAGTCCAGTACATTGTCTCCCGCTATCCACTGTAAAACATCCATGGATACCTTACTTATAACACCATCACTCTTATTCTTCTTTAACCTAGTTTCACTTAAAAAGATAATTGAAAAAGAACGTATGGCATTAAACCGCCTAAGAGAATGAATTGTTGTAGTATTAGCCAAACTACAACAGTTCCAACATAATAATTTCATAACATCCAGCAAGGTTGTCCCGCAACCTCTGATGATATCTTGTTCGTTTTGCTAATTATCTCAACCCCATTATCTGAAGTAGAAGACAATCTGAATCACTTTGAAGTAATTGGATTGGTGGATTCATATTTCCTTTGCAAAATTATGTTTGAGGCTTTGAGCCCTGACTTATCGTTGCAACCAACATTACCCTTTGTCGTAGTTACAATAGGTTTCGTTAAGTTCGTAGCAACAGAGCCCGTGGTAGTTACCTTGGTAGATGTGGACTCATCATGTTCACCCTGTTGGGAAATAAAAC